CTCTAATTCAAGCAGAATAGCCTATTGTCAACATAATTATGGAGTGTGATTTATTTTCAACTCAAAATATCTTCAAACTAACGAAATAAAAAGTTATTAATGAAGAAAACCCGTCTGGATAACAGCAGACTGGCTGCTGGTAAAATATACGACAGGTCTGGACCACTCCTGAATTTTGTTCATATTGAAAAAAATCTTAGAATATGAAAACATTGGTGAATGTCACAAATTCTCCTAAATCACTCGTACGCACAACTTAAGAACAAATCTGTGCGTACGAATGGTTCTTGCATGAGGCCCATTGACTTTATACAGTAAGAGAATCAACAAGTCTCAATTTAGTTTTAGTTTCTAGACCTTATTTCCTTGTTTACTATGACATCATATTCAGGGTGTGACCAGGCTTTCTATAAAAAAATGAACCAGATCTGAGTCTGCATTTCTGTAAAAACTAGGGATGCAACAATACATGTACCCGTATCGAACCGTTCAATACAGTGCTTTAGTTTCAATACACACTTGTATGGAACAATACAGATTTTTAAAGTTTATTTTATCAACTTGTCTTCTGAAGATGCTCTGTGTTGAAGGATCAGTGGATCTGTGTTCGACTACTCCACCTCGGCTGCATTGTGGAGCACAGATCCACTGAGAAACTTGCTGTTTCAGCAACATTTAATTTAAAAACTGTACTTTTGAGGTTAAACAAATGTTCGTACTGAATTTAAAGAAATTACAAGTTAAAAGGGGCATGGACATTTCTCTTTTTTGTTTCAAAAAAATATCAAACTGTGAGATTAAAGTATTGAACCGAACCGAATTGTGAATTTTCTGTATCGTTGCAGCCCTAGTAAATACATATTGAAGTCTGATAATCAAATCAATATCCTGCACTTCGTTTGGTCTCTCATTTGAACAGAATCAATCTGCACTGAAATTTGGCTTATAGGCCAAAAACAGAAAGAGACCCACATAAAAATATGTACAACTTTCTTTCATACATCCTAACTTAGGAGGGCTTGTTATGTAAAATAGACTTTTTTGAGCTTTATGTCATATTATAATGTCATTTCCTTATCAAAAACAAACCCAGACTGTTGCTTTGACTCATTCATGCATGTTTGAGAAATCCATGTGGAGCTGCCTAAACTCTTGGTACAAAGCTCCGCCTATTAACACAAAGCTCCTCCCTGCAGCCAAGCTCCCGCCCAACAGAGCACCCCTCCCCTGAAGCATTGTTTTGAAGAAGTGCTGAAGTGGGAGCGCAGGTAATGGTAGGAGGTTCTGAAAGAGACAGAGGCCAATGTCTGGGTGTTTGCAAGGCGACGCAAAGTCAAAAATAGTTTATATTCAGCTTTTTCATAACTGAAGGTATCGTAGTTATTTGATTGTGGGATAGAGTTGAACTATGTAACTGGAAAACACATAATACCTCCCCCACACACACCTTAAGAGACACTGAGCACACATCAGACACCTCCCCTGACACGTTGTCACTTAAATATGCAAATATATGCACATGTGTAATGCATGTGTGATTCCCCGCTCTGCACAATCAGAACTGAAGTAAAGATGCAAGAAAATTAGGAATTTCATGGTATGTGAGCCAGAGACTCTTCTAAATTAAGTCGTGGGGTGTAAAATCGTCTGGCACACCCAGAGAAGTAAACGACAGGATCAGGGTCAAACATAAAAGTGGGAGTAAAGCAAAGGAATAGTTCCCATCTTATGGAAGAAGCTGTCCCATATGGCTGGCATGGCACCAAAAGGCTCCGAACCCCAACGCAGTGAGGACCTGAACTGGCTCCTGCAATGCACGACTCCTAGTTTCTCTCTGTTACGCTGGGGCCAACTAAGTTCTGAGGTCCAAAGGAATGGCCCCGGGCCACTAAATCAGATAATAAACCAGGCATCACTGTGTTCCAGCAGGTCAGTGTGATTCCTGAAAACACACTCCCTCCAGCTGCACCAAAGGTGCCAATTTTCCACAGTTACATGTAATTTCATGCCCCTTTTTAAGGCCATGTGTCACTGTCTACACCTCGTCTACCTTAGGAAGCATCACGTGAGTTGTTCTGAATTAATTTACTAATCCGACATTGTTTATTTCTCAGTGAGAATGGAAGTCTGTGCATAAGGTCACCGATGACGTCTACATCTACACTCGACAGAAATAGAGGAAATGTCACAGTTTGTCTTAGACTGAGGCTGTTATTTTGGAGACGTTATGTAGCATGAGGCTTTGACTATCTGTAAATACATTCTTGGTGTCTAAAATGAGTTTTGATGAGGAACAACTACTATCCTGAATGGTAAATTAAGATGTCTGCATTTGCATTCTGACACATCGGAAGAAGAATTAGAGTATCTCTATGTTAGTTTTGCCAAGTCATTATTTGCTTTCAAGATATCTGATATTTAATTTGCACTAGTCAAATCTTTATAAATCTCATTTACTTTTAAAATGTCATGAATAATGATGTCATTTAAGATATATTTAATTAGAAGTGACTAGTCAGCACTAAAAGTGAGATATCTTGAAAGCAAATAATGACTAGCCAAAACTTACTTAGAGATATCTAGAACCACTGGTAGTCATGGTTACTTTTAAGATCTCTTGAATTTAGTCCTCCATGCGACTTAATGATAAATCTGACGTAGTTTAAACTAGTCAAAATCTGATTAGAGATTTCTTAATTAACTAACATGACCTCTCATAAACCAATTTCAGATACCTGGAAGGTAAGTGTGGTGAAGCTGATTTAATGTTAAAATGGCCTGCCGTAGTTTGTTTCATTGTGCAGGTTTAAACCATAAATGCTCAAACTCATGAGGAAACGTTGTGTATAAAAACCCTTTGAGGTAAGTAGATGAAATAGTCATATTTCAGTATATTTAGGGGAGTTTTGGTTCTAGTTTTGGTTCATTTGGCTGACTGACAAGGTTCATGTGGTTGTAGGGACATTCTCACGACCACTCAAAGGTTTGTGTAAATTTAAGCACACTTTCACTATAATTACATTTTCATATGTCTCGACTTGTGTGTGGGACAAGACAAATGTGTTCATGAGTCCCTTGGCCTGTAGCTTAAACATCTAAGCATTTTGTCTGTTCCAGATATCTGTATTGTAACTGAAAAACACCTAAATTGTAGCCTGTGCTCCAAACGTCTATACTGTGGTTTCAACATTTAGTAGTAAATACATGTACTTCAGTTAAAACACAATGCAGACTGTAGTAAAAACATCTGTGCTATAGTTCAAACATTTATACCGCCGTCTGCGTAATTAACCTCACCCCTCACCTGTTTGCCTAAATAACTCCACCTGTCCGTGTATATAACCCCAACCATCACATTTGTGTATTTAACACCACTCGTTCCCATCACCTGTTTGCCTAAGTGACCATACCCTACGCCTGCCTGTTTAACTAACCATCCTCTGAAATGTTTGTCTGTCTCTCACCTGTGCAGATGGATGAGATAAAACTGAAGGACAGAGCTGTCAGTGTTTTGGATAAAGCCTTGGGGTTGCAGGCTGGACACGCCCATCGCCTCCAGCTACAGACTCAGGCTGCTGAGCAACAAATTGCAGCCATGAGAGATGCACAAAGGGCGGGGCTTAACCACCTTGTCTCTAACTCCACCCCTAACAATGCTGCTCCCATTGTAAGCCCCGCCTTTTCCTGCTTGCTTAAAATGCATGACTAAATCTCACATCTCATCTGTTCCATGTTCCAGTTTCTTTGAACGTGGCAGTTATCGTGAACATTATAGATTTCCTTTGGGTAGCATTCAGTTCAGAGTATTGTAAAACCTCAAAACTGTAAGAAAAGCAAGTAAACCCTCAGTCTGAAAGCAAAGTAGGGTCTGCCATGGCAAACAGGCTTCAGAGGAAGGGTAAGATCAAAAGCAATTGAAAAACGTTGATGGATAAACATCAGTTACACCAGGAAACCTCTCCCAGGAAAAGGAAACAGGGGTACCCCTCTACAGCCATGCTTGGCTCCTGGGGCTCAGCTGGGCCAAACCCAAAAGAGAGACAGGATACCACCTTCAAATGATTCCACCCCATATGAAGAGGACTGTCAAGGGCATGTGCCATGCAAGGCCGGTGGCAGAGAGCGGGACGTAGAATGTTGCAGAAGGCCTGGTTAACATGGCCATATTATTGTGCCGTTTTTTGCCCTTTCGACAATCTCAAGGACACAGTTATTGGGATGGCTCTAAAGATACTCTTAGGAGATATTCCTGCCATATGTGTTGTGTTGTATTAACAGTGATCTGGTCAGCTCAGAGGGACGTCAGGATACTCCGATCTCCAATCAAGATATTCAACATGTTGAGTTGTCTTGGCCCGATATCCCAGAAGTGTGTGGTGTTCCCCCAGGAACAAACAAGCTTGCAGCCTGTTAAATGTGATGTGTAACCAATCAGAAAGAGAAGTGATGGAAACATGGCAGGGTAATCCAAAAAACAGAAAACCAAACAACTGCCAAGGTGCACCAGAAATCCAGTGGACATCGGAGACATGCACAAACTATCACCACTGCTTCTTCCCTGTCTGCCATGTTTATTTACTCTGAACTCATGTTTGAGAGGTTTTGCGAAATTTCCCATCTGACATCTGAATGTTAGTGAGTGAAATCTGTTCATGTGTGGTGTCTGTCTCATTATCTCTGCAAACAGATGTCCTCATATCAGCAGTCTGGTTTATAAATAAAGGCACCACTCTACTTAGTCTCCCCGGTAAGGTCCATTCAGGGGTACTAGAGAAGAGAGTCCAGTAGATGGTCTAACCCCAGTTTCAGGAGGAACAATGTGGGTTCTGTCCTGGCCGTGGAACACTGAACCAGCTCTTTACCCTCACTAAGGTCCTCAAGGGGTCATGGGAGTGTGCTAATCCAGTCTACATGTGTTTTGTGGACTTGGAGAAGGCATTCGACTGTGTTCCTTAAGGCAAACTGTAGGGCGAGTATGGGATTGTGGGTCCATTGTTACAGGTAATCCAGTCCCCACACAAGTGGTGCGAGGCTTTGGTTTGCATTGCTGGCAGTAAGTCGGACCCTTTCAGAGTGAGAGTTGGCCACAAGAAGTCCGGTTTGGGGGCCTCAGGAATCCATCGCTGTTATTTGCAGACGATGTGGTCCTGTTGGTGTTGTACCATGATCTTCAGTTCTCACTGGAGTGGTTCACAGCCAAGTGTGAAGCCATGGTCCTCAGTTGGAGAAGGGTGGATTGCTCGTTCAAGGTTGGGGGTGAGGTTCAGACGGATCAATGTGGCTTCTGCAGTTTTGTGGACTCTGTACCGGTTTGTTTGTGGTTCAGAGGGAACTGAGCTGTAAGATGAAGCTCTCTGTTTACCAGTCAGTTTGTTCTTTCCCTCATCTATGGCCTTAAAAAATGAGATTGCAGATACAGATGGTCAAAATGAGGATCGATGGATTACCAGTAAAGTAAACTTCTTTTGTTGTTGAGTTTTGGACTTGATATGTTGAGCTGCCTTTTCTGTGGAACACATAACCTGCTGGAATGTGGTCTGATCTAGACTTTTTGTTAATTTTTGTAAGATGTGTTCTTCTTTGGCTTCTACACTAGATGTTGGCAGCACGTTTGATCAGTGGTTAGCACTGAGGCCTCACAGCAAGAAGGTCCTGGGTTCAATCCCCGGTCAGACTTGTGGTTTTTCTGTGTGGAGTTTGCATGTTCTCCTCGTGCATGGGTTCTCTCCAGGTACTCTGGTTTTCATCCCACAGACCAAAAACATATACAACAGGATGCCTTCAGGCTCAGGCCTTCCTTGCAAGAGATCTGTGATCTCAATGGGATTTGCCAGGGTAAATAAAGGTAGGTAAATAAATAAATCGAATAGGTTTATAAAATCTTAGTTGATCTAAAATAATAAATGTACTTTATTTGTCGTCAGTGCATGTTCCCATACAATGAAGAACCTTGTGTTCTGCATTTGACCCATCATACATGTGAAACACCCAAGTGGAGCAGGGGGCAGCTACATAAGCACCCGCAGAGCAGTTGGGGGTCTTGCTCAAGGACACCACAACATATGGGCCTGACGGGGAGTCGAACCTGTGATTTTCTGGTCCCAAGTTGGCTTCTCTAACACAGCCGCCCCATCTGCCTTTGGCAGTTGTGCCAAACAGCTCATATCTATTTTCAAAATGCCACTGGACGTTTTTCTTGTTTTCCATGTCCTCCTGACCTGAAGCTTTAATCAATCATTTGGTCATGTGTTGTGTGCAGTCTCAAGAGGACCGAGATACTCGAAGGTTTCAGCTGAAGATTGCTGAGCTTAGCGCAGTCATTAGGAAACTGGAAGACCGCAATGCTCTGCTGTCTGAAGAACGAAATGAACTGGTAATTAGAACAACTCACACTAACCCTTACACAACCTGAACATAAAACGTCTCATCAGCTGTGACATCAGTTATTAATCAAAACTCTGTATAACTTTATTCTTCTATGTTTCATTTTCCAAATGAAAGTTTATAACTGTTCACTTTATTCTTTTATTATTTTTAATAAAGAGATAAAGGTTGAATGCAACTTAGAGATGGGGAGTAACGAGGGATTGGGGAGCAGGGAATACGTAAGAAGGGGGTTTTTTAGACAAATAGGCTGGAAACACTATTTGTCTCAAATTCTGGGTATATTTTCTTTTTGGTTTTCTTTTTGTTTGTTTGTTTTGTTCTTTGTATGTTTTTTGATTTGTGTTTGGTATTTGAAGATTATTTTTGATTGAGTTTGTTTCTGAGCTGTAATTTCATTGCGCTCTGTACAATGACAATAAAGGTCAATCTTATCTTATCTTAGTGAGAAAAGGGTCAGATATAAGACATTTTTCTTCTTCTGCTACCTTTCATTTAATTTGTGATTGTATTTTATTGTATGCAGAATTTGTTTTGTTTTTAGATAAATGAAAAAATAAGTGTAAAACCACTGATTTTGCTGGGTGGATATCCAACTCTACCCATGTGTCCTGCAGCCAGCGGTGACTGGCTTTAGTTGTTTTGCTCTCATTTGGAGAATTATGACAGAATTACTGAAACTAGACGGTTCTGTGTGACTTCAGTGAAAGCATTTTATTAAGATAGTAATTCTTGAGCATTTTGTTCAGCATGATTTATTTCCCCTGGCTGTATTTTTTCTTGGTTTGTTTTTAAATGTATTCTAATTATTATATATATATTTTTTTCCTTCAGCTGAAGCGTCTGAGAGAAACAGAGAGTCAGTTTCTTCCTCTTTTGGACAAAAACAAACGTCTGAGCAGAAAAAATGAAGAGCTGGCTCTTGCCCTGCGGCGCCTTGATAACAAACTTCGCTTTGTTACCCAGGAGAACATGGAGATGGCTACAATGGTAACACATTAACAAAACATATTCAAACCAGATGTACTTTACATGAACTCATCAGGACAAACACTCATCCATCAGTCAAATGGCAAGATTCACTAACTGATTTTCACCAGCAGGTGGCGCTATTTAAATAAAACACATGAGAGTCCTCCCTGATACAAATTAAACAAATAAATGTCGTGATTCCTCTGAAACACTTATTGTTTTTGTGTGTTACCACGTTAACATCAACCTCTGTTCTGGTCCACAGAGGAGACCCAGTTCGTTAAATGACCTGGACCGCAGCCACTCCACCAGCTACCATGTTTACGGCCAAGATGAGAGAGAGATGGAGTTCCTGCGGTTGCAAGTGGTTGAGCAGCAGCACATTATTGATGACCTGTCCAAGGTACTACTGCTACTATAGTACAAATACTACAGCTGTAACAATCAGCACCAGTTCTGAAACAGTAACAACCAACTTGTGCAACACTACAATCACACAGTACCAGAACTTTGGCTGTGACAAATGTGTAGTATGAGTTTCACAGATACAACACCCATACAGTACTATGTACTACTGCTGTGACAACCTATAGCACAGTTGTAGATATAACATGTTTATCTAATGGTACCACATTAAACTACATCCCTTCCAGGTGTGTATATATAAAATGTATTTTGTTTTTTGCTTTCTTTAAATCAAAACTGTCCTGGACACAAACTGGGAATTCAATGTTGATGATAAAAATCATGATTTCAACTATGATTATAAAACATCTGACCAGAATCACCAGATATTTGGCTTCAGATTTATTTTTATTTGTGCCAAAATGTTAAAAAAAAATGATGGATTAATTAAATCCATAAAACCCATATTGAACTGATGAAGCCATTTACAGATGGCGTCCATAAAAAAGTGTCAAGAAGTGTAAAACTCTGAGCTCATTTTGAACATTTTCTCACTCATTTCAATCCACTGTTGGGTCAGTATTTTCCAAACAGACATCAAAGTGGACCAAAAGTATCTTCAGACACTCTAGTAATCAAAATATAAAAGTGTAGATGAACAGATCTGTTCTCTAGCCTGGCCCTTGCCTTCCTACGCAGCTCCACTCAGTTCTAGTTTCCCTTCACTGCTCCTACGAAGCAAAGTGAAGGACAGGGTCCGGTTTTAACCAGGCTATCTGTTCTCAGGCTAGTAGCAAAAGAATGACCCCTACCCCAAATAACACACCAGATTTCCCTCATCAACTGTGTTGCCCTTCTTCATATTGCTTCATATTTGTCATATTTTTGTGTTCTAAGGTATAATTTCCGACATTAAAGTTATGATGTTAATTAAACCTATGTACTTAAAATACTAAAATTGCTCTACATGGTACTGTAGGGTTGTTGGTTCTGTATCAGTTCTACAGCTGTAAGAACAAGCTGCAGATCTGTTCTGACATTTATTTCTACCAAACTTTGTTTTCAGGCTCTGGAAACGGCAGGTTATGTGAAGAATGTTATTGTAAGTATAACAAACTGCTTTCATCACTACAAATCAGTTAACTGTGGATAAACACGGTGAGTTCAGCGTTTTGTTTTTGTTCTCAGGAGCGAGACATGTTACTGAGGTACAGACGTCACGAGGGCGTGAGGAGGAGGAGAACCTTCAGAGCGTGCAGGGTGAAGAACACAAAAACGAACCACACTCTCTACTGGTCCCTTAGTACCACCCAAACCAAACCAAGCCACAAACATCATCAACATCTCTTACCCAACAAATTACGGAGCGCCAAGTGTAAAATAAATTGATCAAAAAATGTCATTAACACATTTTCTTTATTTAGCTCTGAGTATAAAATCCTTGTTAAAAATTTCTAACATTTTGTTATTTAGCTCACTGTTCTGCTCATTTTTACTAAATGTTAAATTGAAATGTTAAATAACGTATGTGAATATTAAATCCTAAATCTAAATGAGTAAATCTAAATGTAAAACTTAAATCGTAAACGTTGTATTTAAGTATTTCAGAATGGAACGCAGCCTTTGCTGTTGGTATTCTACAGTCAGAACCAAGAGGCCTTCTATTTGTAGCAGATCATTGTTTTTTTTTTGGTACCAGTAAATCAAAACAACTGAATATTTATTTTTGTTGTAAGGAAAGTTCAGATTGTTGATTAGTTTCACACAAGTGTGTTTACATCCTCTGAAGAGTCTTGTCACTTCAGAACCTCAGTTAGAGCTCAGTGACAGTTCAAAACACCTGAACGATATCATGTTTGTTTGTTTGTTTGTTTGTTTGTTTGTGTGTGTAGGTGATAGAGACATTTTATGGTTATGATGAAGAGGCATCGGTGGATTCTGATGGATCATCTTTGTCCTTCCACACTGACAGAACTCCAGATACAGAACCAGAAGAGGTACACATGCGTCTGTATTTGTAAAACCAGAACCAGTTCTGACCCAGAAAACCAAGAGACTCAAAGACTCAGAGAATCAAATACTCAGAAACTCAGAGACACAAAGACTCAAAGACTCAGAAATCCAGAGACACAAAAACTAAAAAATTCAGATATAAAAACTCAAAAACCCAGACTCAAAGACTCAGAAACACAGAGACACAAAGACTCAGAAACACAGACACAAAGACTCAAAGACTCAGAAACCCAGAGACACAAAGACTCAGGAACACGAAGACTCAAAAATCCAGAGGCATAAATACTCAAAAACCCAGAGACACAAAGACTCAGAAACCCAGAGACACAAAGACTCAGAAACTCAGAGACACAAAGATTCAAAGACTCAGAAATACAGAGACACAAAGACTCAGAAACCCAGAGACACAAAGACTCAGAAACAAAGAGACACAAAGACTCAAAGACTCAGAAACCCAGAGACTCAAAGACTCAGAAACCCAGAGACTCAAAGACTCAGAAACCCAGAAACACAAAACTCTGAAACTCTAAAAGAAAAAGCTCAGCTTACATGGAATCAGAGACTGAGGACTTGTTACTGGTTTGGCTGGTTTCTGTTTGGGTTTAAGGTCTGGTTTCTGACCCTCACTGGTTTCTGATGGGCTCTGTGTTGGTTTCAGATGTGTGTACGTGAGGAGGCGGAGTTTCGTTATTGTCAGCTGACCCAGGAGTACCAGGCGTTACAGCGAGCGTACGCTCTGTTGGCGGAGACGTGTGGAGGAAACTATGATGCTGAAAAGGAGATCAAGGTGAGTGGGTCTTTGAGCCAGGCAGCAGCAGTGAGTTCTATTCCCTGTACCTTCACCTTACAGGTTGTTCTGTTTCAGACACGAGAGCAGCTGCTGAGTGAAATCAGTCAGTATCAGAACAGGATTGCAGATCTGGAGACATCGCTGAAACAACAAGGACAGGTAACACCAGGCTGTGGAGTCACACAAACAAACAAACAAACAAACAATGTTTGCTGTATCAACAGAACCAGAGAAATAATAATTAATGTGGAAATGCTGAGCCATAAAAACCTGTACACTTTTAATTTTGGGTTTTCTGTATTTCTGCTGCTCTCAGGATTTGAGGTGGGTGGAGGAGAAGCAGGCCCTGTACCAGAGGAACCAGGAACTGATTCTGAAGGTGAAGCACTTTGATTAAAATATTTCAAATGTCTGATCCGGGGTCAGGTCTCCGGGACAGCAGCCTAAGCAGAGAGACCCAGACTTCCCTCTCTCCAGCCACTTGGACCAGCTCCTCTGGGGGAATCCCAAGGTGTTCCCAGGCCAGCTGAGAAACATCCATGGTGTAGTGTCGTAACGGTCGGTGTAGGTACGGGTCGGTACGGGTCGGACCGGTTGGTTTTCCACTGATGTTCCAGTCCTGTTCCAATGGGTGTGTTTTGGGCGGTTGGAGGTGGTTTTTGGGTATTTTTGGAAAAAAAAAATAATGGGCAAAATGAGAGATGGAAACACATTTGATGAATAACTTTTGAAATTTTAAACATTTGCAAAAATGTAGCCAATCAGTGACAAACAGTGTTCTGACATCGCACTTTGGTGTCAGCTGGGGCCGGTTGGAACCACAATGAAGTAGGTATTAAAAAAAGTGCCAGTTCCATGGATCTGGCCTAATGGAAATGGCTTGGAAACGTACCGACACTACACTTAGTGGCACTAGTGGAAAAGGGGCAATAGTCCCTCCAGCGTGTCCTGAGTCTTCCTCTGGGTCTCCTCCCAGTGGGATGTGCCCAGAACACCTCACCAGGGAAGAGTCCAAGAGGCATCCTAACCAGATGAACCACCTCAACTGGCTCCTCTCGACGTGGAGGAGCAGTGGCTCTACTCTGAGTCCCTCCTGGATGACCGAGCTTCTCACCTCTAAGGGAGAGCCCAGACACCCTGCAGAGGAAACTCATTTCAGCCACTTGTACTGTATCTGTGATCTCCTTCTTTCGGTCACTACACAAAGCTCCTGACCATAGATGAGGGTAGGAACGTAGACCGACCAGTAAATCAGGTGCTTCACCATGACACACCGGTACAACGCCCGCATCACTGCAGACGCAGCACCAATCCGCCTGTCGATCTCCCGCTCCATTCTTCCCTCATTCATTAACAAGACCCTGAGATACTTGAACTCCTCCACTTGGGGACGGACCTCCTCCCCGACCTGGAGAAGTCACCCTACCCTTTTCCGGCTCAAGACCATGGTCTCGGATTTGGAGGCACTGATCCTCATCCCATCTGTGAACCGCTCCAGTGAGAGCTGGAGATCAGGATCTGATGAAGCCAATAGGACCACATCATCCAAAAAAGCAGAGATGTTATCCTGAGGTCACCAAAAGGATCCCCTCAACACCTTGGCTGCTCCTAGAAATTCTGTCCATAAAGGTTATGAACAGAATCGGTGACAGAGGACAACCTTGACGGAGTTCAACTCTCACCCGAACTGAGACTGACTTACTACCGGATATGTGGACGAAGCTTTGGCACTGTTTTTTTTAAATAAACTAAAATGCAGAATTAAAACGTGGACCAGGCTGAGTCCTGTTTCTGATTGTCTGCAGGTGCGGCAGATGGAAACTGAAGAGCTGCGGCTGAAAAATGACATTCAGGACATCAAAGACCAGAACGAGCTGCTTGAGTTCAGGATTTTAGAGCTAGAGGTAAAACAGATATCAGCACCTTATTGTCCAATAAACAGTTTGTCTGCAAGGGGGAGGGGCATACAGATTCACAGAGACAGTGGGTGGAAAGGGGGCGGAGTTATAGGAATATGGAGATTCAAACTAACTAAAGCTCTTAGACTGTTAATATTATCATGAAAGCTCAATTTGTTCCTTCAAGTTTCAGTAATTAGACGTGATTTTTAACATCTGGTTGTTGTTTCGATGGAAACAGGAGAGGGAGCGACGCTCACCTGCCATCAACTTCCAACAACTTTACTTCCCAGATGGTCTCAGTCCTCTGCAGATCTACTGTGAAGCAGAGGGAGTCACTGTGAGTAACACCTGAACTCACTCAGACACACAACGCACACCTGAACCCACACTCAGTCACACAACACACACCTGAACACACACTTAGACACACGACACACAACTGAACCCACACTTAGACACACGACACACAACTGAACCCACAATTAGACACATGACACACAACTGAACCCACACTTAGACACATGACACACAACTGAACCCACACTTAGACACATGACACACAACTGAACCCACACTTACACACGACACACAACTGAACCCACACACAGGACACACACCTGAACCCACACTTAGACACATGACACACACCTGAACCCACACTTAGTCACACGACACACACCTGAACCCACACTTAGACACACGACACACACCTGAACCCACACTTAGACACACGACACACACCTGAACCCACACTTAGACACACGACACACACCTGAACCCACACTCAGACACACGACACACACCTGAACCCACACTTAGACACATAACACACACCTGAACCCACACTTAGACACATGACACACACCTGAACTCACACTCAGACACACAACACACACCTGAACTCACACTCAGACACACGACACACACTTGGACTCACAGTCAGACACATGACACACACCTGAACTCACCTGTAGATACTGTATGTCACTGAACACCTGAACTCACCTGTAGACATGTCACTGAACACCTGAACTCACCTGTAGACATGTCACTGAACACCTGAACTCACCTGTGCGACACTGTTTCATCAACAGGACATTGTGATCAGTGAGCTGATGAAGAAGTTGGACATTCTGGGGGATAACGCCGTAAGTGTATGTTGAATTTATCTTGTACATGTGTGTGAGTTACAGTTGTCCTTTAGAAACATGCACAGACGTGTGTGCTCTTTTTACCTTTCCATCTTCCACACTGTTCACTTACTGTATGTCTCATTGTGTCATTAGCAGTAGATACAGTTTTGGTCAACACTTTGCGAACATTAAAGTGATTAAATGAGTTAAAATGGGCAGAAACCACTCAGGAACCACCAAGGCTCAAACTTGAACTGGAAACTGCTGGAACACCACTGTCCCTGTCCACAGTGAAGACAGTTGAACATAGATTTAAACAACACTAGAGTGAGCCTCGCCCACCCCATCCACTGTTAGCATCTCTGACAACATGGTGACCATACAAGTCGTCGGTTGATAACTTGTCTCTACTGATACTGGCTAACCATTTTTCTAACAGGTCAGGTTTGTCTTATAGAAACCTAAAAAATGTCCAATATATAAAATTATTTTTACACCATGTAAATATTACATAAATCAGAGGCAAAAATAGCTTGTAATATTTATTACATTGTGTTAAATTGTAGCATGATTCAGCAGCGCTAAACTCAGAAGCTAATATCTGCTGGATTTGATCCATGTAGCCATATTTGAACCAGAGCGTTGTTTCCATAAAAGAATTCCAAAAATTTTCCACAGTAACGAGACTGGAGGTTTAATCTGTGCTTCCATCTTTAAAGTGTATCTTACCCCCCTGTGAAAAGATAACTCCGCCCCCAAGGCGAAATTTGAAAAATGCATCAAAGTGGGTAGGGGAGGGGGGGTTAGAGAGCGGAGGTGTGGCCAGGACGAGAGAGCTGTCTGCCTCCCCCCCACACCAGCCTCGGACAGAGGAGTGGAGCGCTCCAACAGCCTGACATAAAAAAATAAAAGCATACAGCTGCAGCTGCTCACAAGATCGCTAGTTTAAAYCRRGAATAAAAGTGTTGGGTCTTGTTTGACTGAAGTTCGGTCCGTTAGGGCTGCAGCTGCCCCGATGTGTTTCTGCCTTTCCCTCCTCCCCTCTCGCTGTGCAGGACGTAC